TTCCTGCCGGGGAAATCTTCCCCTGCGCGGCCCCACCGAGCCACCCCACCCCGCAGGAGGAAAAGGAGAGAGGGTGGGCGGGGGAAGGCAGCCCCCCGCCCCCCACATTCCTGCCGGGGAAATCTTCCCCTGCGCGGCCCCACCGAGCCACCCCACGCCCGCCCGAGGAAAAGGAGAGAGGGTGGGCGGGGGAAGGCAGCCCCCCACCCACCACATTCCTGCCGGGGAAATCTTCCCCTGCGCGGCCCCACCGAGCCACCCCACCCCGCACGAGGAAGAGGAGAGAGGGTGGGCGGGGGAAGGCAGCCCCCCACNCTCGACAAGAGATTCCCTTCTTTGGTCGCTCATCACGCGGCCGCGGCAACAGCAAGCGAGCGGGGGAGGGGGAGGACACATTCAACGGCGCGCCGTCAGGGCAAAGTGCGTCCGCATTGGGCGACTCGGACTCATTACATCAGTTGTTGCTTAGTGCATCATCGGGGCGCCGCGATGCTGACACAGAGAGGGGGCCGCACGCACAAGGGTCAGTGAGGAAGCAAAATGTATGTTGTCGTCACGGGTAAACACTCCGTCGAGTTGTTCGTCGTTACAATCATCACACCGCGCGCGCACACACACAGAAACAACGGGGGCGGGGCGGCCCTCAGCCCTGGTATTAGGTTCGAAGGCAGTTGGCGTCATGCAAACTCCGTGGAGAGATGCCACAATCATCACAGGACCACGCCGCCCCCACGCAAACAACCCCAAACACACAGAGAGAGAGAGAGAAAGCAAGGAAGGACCTTCAGCAAGCAATTGAATGGATTGTTGTCGGTCAAAGTGTTTCATGTCACCGCGGCGAGGCAGCACGCCCACCGCTCGACAAGAGATTCCCTTCTTTGGTCGCTCATCACGCGGCCGCGGCAACAGCAAGCGAGCGGGGGAGGGGGAGGACACATTCAACGGCNATGCAAACTCCGTGGAGAGATGCCACAATCATCACAGGACCACGCCGCCCCCACGCAAACAACCCCAAACACACAGAGAGAGAGAGAGAGAGAGACAGCAAGGATCTCGCGAGCTGTGGGGAATTATATTGGCTTTTTTTTTTGAAGATGTGTACGTGCTCTTTTTTTAGCTTGTTGTAAGAAGAAATTGGGAAGGGAGGATGCATGATGGTTTGTGTCTGGAGCATTTGTACGTAGGGGTGAGGTGCAACACCAAAAAAAAGTGTAGGTGTCCAGTGACTGTAGTAGGTGCCTTATTACTATTCGATTGTTATGGTTGTTAAGTCGCGCAGTTGTTAGTGGAGGAGGGGCACACCCTGCCCATTAAGCATGGTCCCTGGTGGGTAATTTTGTGATGTAGTGCTGGAACCCTCAGGCTTCATCGCAGGGAAAAGAAGAACCTCCTTGATGTTGGCCTGGCTGGTGAGGAACATCACGAGACGGTCGATGCCCATTCCCCATCCACCTGTTGGGGGCAGGGCGTGCTCGAGCGCCTGGATGAAGCTCTCGTCAATCTCCATCGCCTCATCATCACCGTCTTCCCTGTCCTTAAGCTGCTTCATGAACTCCTCCCGCTGCACAATAGGGTTGTTGAGTTCCGTGTAGGCGTTGCACAGCTCTTTTTTGTTGACGAAGAGTTCGAAGCGCTCCGTCAAGCGGAGGTCGTCGCGGTGCCACTTGGCAAGAGGTGACATGATTCTTGGGTGGTCGCAGACAAATGTCGGGTCGTGGCACTCCGGCTCAAGGTAGTGCGAAATCAGTGCATCCAAAAGACGAGTCGTTGTGAATGGGGGATTGCATTCCACCTTGTTCTTCTTGCAGAGGTCCAAGAAGAATGTGTTGGCCTCGGCACTGTCGAAGTCCGCAGGGAACTTCACATTGAGCCGCTTCTCCAGCTCGGGGACAATGTGGAGGCGTTTGAAGGGCTTGTTGAAGTTGAAGACCACCTCGGGGAGTTGGTTCCCCTCTGAGTCCTTCGGCGCGTACTTCACAAGTGGTGTGCCGTGAAGGTGCATTGCGAGGCCGTACAGGAGATCCTCCGTGGTGCGCATCCAGTCGTTGTAATCCATGTATGCCCAGTACGCCTCAATACTCGTGAACTCGGGGTTGTGTGTGAGGTCAATACCCTCGTTGCGGAACTGCTTTCCCATCTCGTACACGCGGTCCAGCCCACCCACGACGAGCTCCTTGAGGTAAAGTTCAGGGGCAATGCGCAGGTACATGGTTTGATTGAGCTCGTTGTGGTGCGTGATGAAGGGGCGAGCAGCGGCACCACCGGCGATTTGGTTCAGCGTTGGTGTCTCCACCTCGAGGAAATCCAAATCATCAAAGAAGTTCCGGATGTACTTAATAGTTTTTGAGCGAAGCACAAAGGTCCTGGCGTTTTCACGATTCACAATAAGGTCCAGGTAGCGCTGACGGAAGCGCTGCTCAACCGAGCTAAGACCGTACCAGTCATCTGGCAACATGTGGAAGCATGTCGACAGCAGCGTGATCTCGATTGCGCTCATGGAAAACTCGCCCGACTTGGAGAGTGACGCCACGCCCTTGACGCCAATAATGTCGCCGCGCTTAATCTTTCCGTGAATGTCGGCAAAGCCGTCGTTGGTGTAGTCGCCAAGGGCGGAGATGACCTGCACGATGTCCGAATCTCCCTGCAGCGTGAGGAAGTGCAGCTTCGAGCCGGAGCTGCGCTTCGTAATGATGCGGCCGGCGATCGTGACGACTTCCTCCGCCCGCTGCCCGTTTTCCTTAAGAAGCGGGGCGAAACGCGTCTTGAAGGCGGGGATGGTGTAGTCACGCTCGAACTTGTGCGGGTACGCGGCACCGAGGAGCCCCATCTCATTCACTGTGGCAAGGCGCGTCTCGAAGTAGCTCATCTCCAGGGCCTTTTCAGTCGGCTTCTTCTTCTCCTGCGGCAACTGCCGGCGCAGCTCCGCCATCTTGGCGATAAGCGCCTTGCAATCATCGCTCCCGGCGCCCTTTTCCTTCTTTGTCTTCGATATCTGTGCCGCAACAGCGTCGATTTGCGCGCGCAGTTCGTCTGTCGAAGACATCTTTACAAAGATGTTTATTTATTTCTCTCTTGTATGTGTGCGCGCAGCCTCTGCACGCACAAACAGGTGTAATAGCAGCAACCAGAGAAACCAGAAGACGTGGAGAGAAGCAGAGAGGTGCGGCAAGAAGGCACGGGGGATGCAGACCCCTCAATGGGCACAGCAGCACCGCCAAAAGCAATTGCAGGAGGCCGCTCACTCAAACCGAAAAAAATTTTGGATACGTCAAACGATGCCACCACCTCCAATCCTTCCATGGGAATGTGTCTATCACACACGCACCCACAGTAGATATAGATAAAGATATATATATATATATAGAAACAGAGCAGCTCTATTTCTATTATGCCGCACGCCAAACTTCCCCTGGAGACAGGGGACACCCGCCCATGGAAGCAAGGAGAGCGTGAGAGAGTGTAGAATTTACAACAGGAGTAACAATACTCACAAGAAAAACGCTCGCAGGCTCCATCATAAACAGATTCTTTTTTTTTTTTGCTTTTAAGGTCTCAAGACGGTGAATGAACACACCGCAGAGATGATAGGAGAAAATCGGAACCGAAAACACTGTTTCTCTCACAACTGGCTATCCCGTGTCGCGCCTGTTAGATCGGCCACCGCCTTCCGCAAAATGCGTTCCGCCCTCTGCATGTGCTCCAAAAGCACGTACTCGTTAGCCTCATGCTCGTTGGCACCGCCCGGGCCCCACACAACAGTGCCGACCCCGCGTGTTTCAAACTCCGGGGCTTCTGTGCAGTACGGCGCGTACACGGGCTCCAGCGCCTCGCCGCTAGCGGCTTGCAGTGCTGCGAAGACACGTGTGTCGCTGCGCCCCTTAAACGCATCCGACCACCCACTGACGCACACCTCCGCATGGCAACCACTAACCTCCTTATCCATTTCTTGCGACGTTGCCTCAACAAACTTCTGAATACGCTGCTGCACTTCACCGCGTCCGTGACCTGGGATGTTGCGGAACTCGTACGTGATGCGGCAGTCGGCCGGCACAGTGTTCTCAGCGATGCCGCCCTGCACCATAGCCGGGCACACCGTCGTGTACGGTAGCGGAAAGCCCTCCGCAAACGGACCACGTGTGCGGAACTCCCGGCCAAGGTCGCGCAGGAAGTGGACCATAGTTGCACCATGCTCGATGGCGTTGCATGCTTGCGGGGACATCGAGGAGTGCATCGCCCTGCCATGCAAGTGGACGACAGCGGACTGCACGCCCTTGTGAGCGATAACGAGTTCAAGGCCTGTCGGCTCACCAACAATGCAACCATCCGCATTGGAAACAGGAATACCAGTGTCCGCCACCAGCTGACGCACCCCGGCGAAGTCTGTCTCTTCATTATATGTCCACGCAAAGTGGATCGGCTTCGCCCGCTTCATCGCAAGGAACTCCGGCGTCAGCGACATGCACAGTGCAATGAAAGCCTTCATGTCAGCCGATCCGCGGCCGTACAGCTTCCCGTCCCTCTCCGTCAGCACGAACGGGTCGGTGTCCCACTTCTGCCCGTCCACCGGCACCACGTCGGTGTGGCCGGAGAGGATGATGCCGCCGTCCGTCACGCCGCCCTCGCCCGGCAGCGTCGCCCACAGGTT